TCTCTGTTGGGGGTGGGAGAGTGGTTAATATACATATACTTGGAGAGATATACAACATTAGTATAGTCATTATTATAGAGGAAATTATATAAAGAGGGATTTAATTTATCTCTCAAACATTCTCATAATATCTCACACTATCTCCAAATATTCTCACACTGTCTCACGCTATCTCTCAAACCTCCACACAGCCTAATGAAGTCTATCTCTCAAACTGTCTCGTACTATCTCTCAAACGTTCTCACAATATCTCCCACTGTCTCACAATATCTCCCACTGCCTCACAATATCTCCCACTGCCTCACACTATCTCCCACTGTCACACACTGCCTCACAATATCTCACAATATCTCCCACTGTCTCACAATATCTCCCACTGCCTCACAATATCTCATGCTGTCTCACAATATCTCACACTGTCTCTAATATCTCACTGTCTCACAATATCTCCTCTGCCTCACAATATCTCCCACTGTCTCACAATATCTCATGCTGTCTCACAATATCTCACACTATCTCTCTAACCTTCTCACAGTCTCACACCATCAGCATGCACAGAGGCTCGGCAGCTGGACTTCAGGGAGCGTCTTTTAAATATTCAGAGGCTGCAGGTAGACCATGGCATGTTGTACAGGAGAGAGAGAGAGAGAGAGAGAGAGAGAGAGAGAGAGAGAGAGAGAGAGAGAGAGAGAGAGAGAGAGAAGAAGAGAGAGATCACATACCAGTAAAGATCCACGTACAGTACCTTTGCTCTGAAGAAGTCATTGATAACATACAAATACCACTACCACCTCTACCACCTCTACCACCACACTACCACCACTACTACCACCTCTACCACCACTACCACCACTACTACCACCTCTACCACCACTACCATCACTACTACCATCATTATCCTAGGTAGTAGGCAGCTACCAAACAGGGAGGTACTACCACCTAGGAAGACATTGGAAGCATAATGTGTTGTCTAATGGTAGACCTGCCATATGGCACCACGAAAATTGCTGATCTGACTTTTCTGCCTCATTTACACACAATTGCAGGGGTTCAATTGTTTCTCTTACTATTGACAACACAACATACATACAGTCGTTTCTGACAATTGATTTTTTAATTTTTGTATTTATTTATTTTATTATTATTATTATTATTATTATTATTATTATTATTATTATTATTATTATTATTATTATTATTATTATTATTATTATTATTATTATTATTATTATTTTATTATTATTATTATTTATTATTATTTTATTATTATTATTATTATTATTATTATTATTATTATTATTACTATTATTATTATTATTATTATTATTATTATTATTATTATTATTATTATTATTATTATATTTTCGCCCCCAGGCCCTTGATGTGGGACAGTGACCACTTCTTTACCTCTTCACCCTTACACACACACACACACACACACACACACACACACACACACACACACACACACACACACAGACACATGTGTGTACTATTATATCCCAGCCTGGCTTTGCTAAGTGGCCAGGCGCAAGAGATCAAATGTGGCCACACACAGAATACATTTTGGACAAAGCAGATGGCCATATAGAGACACAGTCGGCGAATTTCTGTCTGTGTGTCTGATTCTTTCTCTCTGCTTTGTTTTCTCTCTCTTTTCAAAATAATTTTCTCTCATTCTCTTTCTCTTCATTCCGGTTTATCTATCTTTCATTATCCCCTCCTCCTCCTCCACCTTCCCCTTTCAAACCCCGTAAACCCCCGTAAACCAACCCTACCCCTGAATAACACCCCACAACCCCATAAACCAACCCTACCCCTGAATAACACCCCACAACCCCGTAAACCAACCCTACCCTGAATATCACCCCACAACCCCGAAACCAACCCTACCCTGAATAACACCCAACATAAACCAACCCTACCGAAACACCCCACAACCCCGGAACCAGACCTACCCCAAACTAACTCCTTCAAGCCTCCCTAAAACCCCCATAAAGGCTAACCCCCAGACATGTCTTGACTATTGTTTACAAGAGAGACAAATCCTGTTGTTAGAGGTGGGGGTGGGGTGAGGGTGTGGGGGTGGGGGGTGGCGAGGTGGGGGTCAGGGGTGGGGTGGGGGTGAGGAGGTGGGGAGGTGAGGTGGCAGGGGGTGGGGTGGGTGTGGGGGTGGGTGGTGGGGGGGGTGGGGGTGGGGGTGGGGTGGGGTGGGGTGGGGGGGGTTAGGAGGAGGAGGAGGAGATATGAAGGAGAGGGAGGGAAGAGAAGGAGGAGAGGGGCGAAAAGGAGGGAGGGAGGGAAGAGATGGAGGAGAGGAAGAGAAGAAGAAGAAGAAGGAGGAGGTGCAGGATCTCAGTAAGGTGCTGGACTTATAACTAACATCCTATCTGATGAAACACTGACAGGATAGTACAACATAAGAGCTAAAGGACTCCAAGGGGTAGTGTAGGACTCCTTTGTCACACCTCCTGCTAGGATCTCTCTCTCTCTCTCTCTCTCTCTTTCCATTCACATAGTTACCTCTCCTTTTTCTTTACCATAAAATCCTGCCCATAAGAAGGAGAGAGAGAGAGAGAGAGAGAGAGAGGGGGTAATCCTCCACCACACCCACCTGGACTCAAAGGGTTAAAGGTGGGGATGATGGAGACAGGAATGAGGAGGGAGGAGGGAGGGAGGGAGGAGGGAGGGAGGAAGTTATTATTAAAGTAAAGCCAGATAGCACACACACACACACACACACACACACACACACACACACACACACACACACACACACACACACACACACACACACACACACACACACACACACACACACACCCTACCGCTGCAGCCACCTGACAAGCACACGTCTGCCTTATACAGCTCCTCCTCCTCCTCCTACTATTCCTCCTCTTCCTCCTTCTAATCCCCCTCAACATCCTCCTTTACCTCCATCACCTTCCTCCATCTTTACCACACTTCTATTCCTCCACTAATATCCCTCCTCCTTAGGTTAGGTTAGGTTAGGTCAGGTTATTAAATCATCAGCTGAAACAAACTAGAGTGCCTAATCTTCAGGTAATCAGAAGTACTTTAAAAGTGAGGAAGTTAAAAACGTTTTAAAATTATCTTAAGTAACACGTAAAAAAAAAAAAGATTAACGAGGAAGCTTAGAGAATCGCTATAGTGAAGTGTTTATTTACATCAACGACCCTGAGATAATACTGTACCAATAATCGACTTCAGTATTTTCCTTCCAGGTCGCGTGTTGGTCGCTGTGAGGACGACTATCTCCTCCTGATCACTCGAGCGTGCCTTCTACACCGTGAGGGAGGGGTGTGTGAGGGAGGGGGTGTGTGAGGGGGAGGGTGTGAGGGAGGGGGTGTGAGGAGGGTGTGAGGGAGGGGGTGTGAGAGGAGGGTGTGAGGAGGGGTGTGTGAGGGAGAGTGTGTGAGGGGGAGGGTGTGAGGGTAGGGGGGTGTGAGGTTGGGGTTGAGTAGGAAGCTTAACAAGGTGCTGTTTCTTTCCTCTGTTTTCCTCCCTTCAACTTCTCGTGGGAAGAGGAGGAAGTAAGGAGGGTGGAGGGGTAGACAAAGGGGAGGGAAGAGGAGGAGGAGAAAAGGGAGAAGACTGAGGCGTCAAGGCATGTGGGGAGAGAGGGGCAAAAAGAGGAGGAAGACGGGAGAAAAGAAGTGGAGGAGGAAGAAAAGGAGAAGGAAGAGAGGGGAATCAAGGTGTGTGGGGAGGAGGGCGTAGTGAGATTTTCCTTAATCATCTCCTCCTCCCGGTATGGCCAGCATAAGGACAGAACCAGACAATGTGATGTAGTCGTGGTCAGAAGTAGGCTAGGATACAGACACATCTGGCAAGTTAGTAACGCTGTACCCATACCGGAACACTCAGCATGTAAACTTTGTGATAAACCTCTATAGTATACACCTGAACACTATATTATTGAATGTGACACTGTCAAAGCTCAGGCCACCTGACTTATTGTATCATAAACTTTGTAATTACTACATTGAATCAGGGGTGCTTGAGGACATTCTTGCTGTTTATCCAAAATTTGCTGTGCCCACACTGATTAGTCCTCAATTAGAATATGACGTCCAATGTATATGAGCCACTGTCCTGCGTGGCAGTGAACAGTAACATTGCCCACATGACTCTGACCTATATATACTGCTAATGAATATGATGTACTGTGACCTCTTCTTAGAACGGTGAGAAGTGATACCACCCTCAGTGTCAAGACCTGACTGAATTACTCCAGAATAGGCAAACTGTACTCCAAGCTTTGTCAATAAATGTGTTAACCGTTAAACGTAACCTCTCTTCCTCCCTCTCTCCTTGAGACCTCTCCTCTTCATCCCTCTTTCTCTCACCTCTCCCATCTCCTATCCTCAATCTCCCTCTCTCTCTCCCTCATCCCTCTTTCTCCCCAACCTCCCGTCTCTCTCTTCCCAACCCCATCTCTCTCTCTCCCTTCTCTTCTCTCTCTCTCTCTCTCTCCTCCTCCTCTCCTTTCTCTCCCCAATCCCCTCTCTCTCTTCCTCCTTCGACCTCTCCTCCCCCTCGTTTCCTCCCTCCTTCCATAACTTGATCAGAGTTGAGCCTTTGTCCACCATCAACTTCCATTAATTAGCAATCCAACTTGTTCGACAAAGGTCACAACATCACACAAAATTAATTACAACTTTCGGACACCTGTATATATATATTGTGGTGAGAGAGAGAGAGAGAGAGAGAGAGAGAGAGAGAGAGAGAGAGAGAGAGAGAGAGAGAGAGAGATCCATCTTACCTAACAACCCACTCATCTGTCAATCTCCCTCTAATATCCTCACAACTCTCTGGTTCACAGTTGCCAACGTAGTCAACTTTGAAGGTTCTATAATTCTAGGGACGACCACAAGTATGGCTGTTCCTCTCTATATATTTTATCAGTAATGACAACGGCCTCTTATGGGAAGCTTCTTTAAGTGATTGTGATGGTAATTTGAGTTTCTAAATTGGGA